ATACTTTATAAAAACTGATATTTCTAGTTTGGTGTTCTAAATTTAACAGGGGGAATGATTATAATTTATTTTCAGATTCATCTCTTTTAAAATAAATATTTTTCTTCTCTAATTCTATCAGGATATATACCACCACATATTTATCTGAAATATCCCTCTGGTATACGAGGAATATATTTGGTCTTTGTCTTTGGAATTTCCTGAGAAACAGGAATCTTTTGTTGCTCTGTACATCCTTTTGATCACACGCAAATTTCTGATAAAGAAGTGATTTAGGGTGCAGTCCTTACCTGCCTCAGGATAGTTTTGAATGCCACAAAGACCATGTGATTAGAGGGTTGGCATTTTCAGCCCCACCCACAGACCTCTGGGAAGGGGAAAACCAGGAAGGTTCAGATTAAGCTCTATAAAAATTCTTGAACAACAGATTTGATGAGTTTCTGTGATGGCTGCTGGGAGGCTGCACCTCCATTCAGTGGGGACAGAAGGCCCTGTGCTTTGGACCCTTCCAGACCTCGCCCTATGTACCTCTCCATTTGAGTGTCCACCAGTATCTTTTATAATAAACTGGTAAACTTAAGGAGATGTTTCTGAGTTCTGTGAGCTACTCCAGCAGACTAATCAAACCCAATGAAGTGAGTCACAGAAACTTTCGATTTATAGCTTGCTGGTCAGAAGTACAGATGACAGGCCTGGCTGGGCAGCCCAGTTAGTTAAACTGTCATCCTGATATGCCAAGGTTGTGGGAACCAACCAATGAATGCATAAATGAGTGAAACAATAAATTGGTATTTCTCTCACTATAAGGATTACCCACTCCTCTGCCAAAATGAAAGGCTAACTCCTACAGCAAGTTCAGAAGTTTTCATCATTTGGCTGGTCTTTATTTATTTCCACAACTGTGTAATGAAAATCCTAATTCAGGACGAAATAATAATTCATTTAAGCTGGGAACTGAAGGAGCGAGGAATAGCCAAAGGAGAGCCTTTTCACAGACTGTGGAGTCTACAGGCATGGCATGTCGATAGACACCATTTGGCTGGAAGACAACTGATGCCCACAGCCTGAGGAACAGCTGCTCCATCTGTCTAGGTGTCCTTGGGGTCAGTTCTGGGGGGTGCCCAACGCCACTGGGGTGAAAGAGTGACCACCTGCAGCTGCATTACACAACACTCCTTCCCTCTGCTCACTACCCTCCGTTAAAAATCACTCCAAGTGAAGCAGCTTAGAACTTTTAAGTTCTCACAAGTCCATCAAAAGTCTCATTCTGACAGCTCAGCTGCTCAGTTCTGGTTGACCAATTTAGGAAGTTTAGTTTCCCCTCCCTTTGTAAGCATGCTCACAAGAAGCAAGGTGAAGTTTTTTGTAAACTTTGAGCCCTGTAAACTTTGAGCCAACCAGATGGAACCAGTAGTTCTGTGAAACTATGGACTACTTCAGTCTCATTAACTTGAGATGGCTTCTCTGGAAATTCTAAACATTCCATAGCAAAACTGATTGGCTTTATCTTGAAAGTACTTTTAAATTTTGTATTAATTACAAGATGACGACATAGTTACTGCAGAAAATCTCAAAAATGCAAAGTAACAAAAAGAAAGTTAAAATCATCCATAATGACCATCCAGAGAAACAAATGTTCCCTTGTGTTTTATGTATGAGGATGAGGGAGGATGGACTCAATAGGATTAAACTGGTAGGGTTTTTGAACTGAGTAGCTTTGCTTATTTCTCTGAAGTATGACTTACTGAGAAGCCAGCTGATAATGGAGGTATTCTTTCAAGGCACTTCCAGAAGTGTCCAAGAGGAGGGGAGGATCCTGCATGACAGATGAATCATCTGTACTTCCCCTACTCTGTCAGGCCACTCTGTCCTGTCATGCTGGTCCCCTGCCTGCAGCAGCCTCCCCCAGCCTTGTCCAGCAGAACATCACTACTCATCCTTCAATACCCAGCTCCAGGTCTGCATCCTGACAGCAGGATGTTCCCAAACCTGTGCTTTCAGCATGCTGCCGCCTTTCCACTAGGGCAGGTGGCAAATGGCACTGATTCCAGTGTGACTGAATTTGTGCACATATGTTAACTGGATACTTCAGAGAGTCAGGACAGAAACTTTCTACTTTGTACACACACCCCCTTGCAGAGGACACAATGAAGACAGTGTAGACTGGTGGTTGGAGTGTGGACAGCCTGGTTTGGGTTAATTTCTGTCTTCACCACTTAACAGCTGTGACCTTGGGCAAGTTACATGTCCACTGTTTACCATAGTTTCTTCATCTCTAAAACATAGGTGATATGGTATTTACCTTACAGGGTTATAATAATACACAAAAGTACTTTACAAGGTACCTAATACATGATAAGCACTACCTAAACTCTTGGGATTATGAAGTTATTCATAAGAACTAACCCAAATATCTTCATGCTGCTTACACTTCTCACAGTCTTTTTACTCAGCTATGAAGGCACAAAGGACTCATGACTAACTGGCTCTAATTACTTTTCTCTACACACGGCAAACAAATATTTAGTCTAGAATTCCTCTCTGACTACAACAGAACACAGCCATGCAGGTGAAACAAAGTTTGGATAATGCTGCCCCACTCCAAAATGAAAACAATACTATTGGAAGTTACCTGTACCAATTTACTCTCCCCGTACGGAGAATATTCATTACCTATGGCATGCACACACCTCTGAGTAAAACATCGAAGACTTTCCGACGTATCCTGCCAGCACCCCCACTCACCCCCCAGCCCCAGCCCACTCTCCCAAGCAACGATCTTTGCTGGAGAGCCAGTCCACTTCAGGTCAAGGGAAGACTCCTGACCACGCAATATTTTCTGAGTCACCTCAGACCAACCAGATGGAACCAGCCCCACATCTCACAGAAGCGGCTCAGTTTAAAGTTTACACTTAAGTTGCTAATTACTTAACAGGAATTTTCTTCCAAGGGTGGGAAGTGAGGGGGGGTGGGGGTGGGATGGTGAGAGAGAGAGAGAGAGAGAGAGAGAGAGAGAGAAATGGAATCCCCTCATATTCAAATTATTCAACTATTAACAAGTAGCTTAACTAAAAAGGGATAGACAACTTTGACACTTTTCTGAGGCTTCAATGATTTTAAAGAACATCTTATTTTAGATTATATTATAAAAAACACTGACCTAAACATTCTCTGACTGAAAAATCTCAGAAAGGCATGTTTGGGGTAGACCAAAAAATTGTTTAGTTTTTTTCCATACATGGCTCTAGTAGTGTTGGTTGTCTTTAACTTCATTCAAAAAAAATTTTTTAGATTGTATTATGACAGCTGTCTTATCACTATGCATTAAAAAAAACTTATCAGATGGGAGTAAAAGACGGAGAACTGTACTTGAACAATAATTAAATTTTTAAAAACTTATCAAAATTTATTAATTTTTGCCATTTTAATACTGAAGATGAAAGAAGGTACACACTATTTTCAGTGTATTATGCTTTATTATTTCAAGAAAGGTAAAAACACAACTGAAATGCAAAAAATTATGTGTGCAGTGTATGGAGAAGGTGCTGTAACTGATTGAACATGTCAAAAGTGGTTTGTGAAGTTTCTTGGTACTATTGACATTTTGGCCAAATAATTCTTTACTGTGGGGACTGTCTTGTGCACTGGAAGATGATTAGCAGCACCCCTGGCCTGTAAATGGCCAATAGCAGGAGAGAGCCAACATACTCAAAATGTGCAAATCAATAAAGTTATTGGTGAAAATGAAAACTGTGTCTTTTATTTTATGGAAAAAAAAACTAAACAGATTTTTTGGCTGATCCAATACTTGTTTATACATTCAGCTAAAGCCTGCTTTAAAAATATACGGCTCTTCATTCCTTAAACATCCAAATCAGGATTCTGATTTCCTTAAATTGAAATAGATAAGACTTCCAACTATCCCAAGGTCTGAATTACTCAACAGAACAAAATGTCCAGATTTTCTTCTATAAGCAAGGCTCCTGCCATCAGGGGGATGGGTCCAGATTTGAAACCAGCAAGGGGTGTGGCCTTCAGCACAGTTTGACTTACATCAGCCAGCCAGAGCTGGACTGACTTCAGACCTCAAGATCTCTGCTTTAAAACAAAATAAAGTATGCCTTCCATATATCCTCTCTGCCCTAAAACCTAAAACAAAACAATTGACTTTTCTTCATTTGACTCCTTAAGTAAAAGAGATGACATCATCTCCATAATTTCAAAACCAGATAACACCAGGAGAATTCTTTTGTTATTTTGTTTACTTGGTTTTGGGGGGGTTTTCTTTTCTTTTTCTTTCTTTCTTTTTTTTAGAGCTCTTCTTCATTTCTGCCTGTGGATTCTTGCCTCAGTTCTGGAAAACAGTCTGCAGACTATTAAAAAAATTAAAATATAAAATAAAATTCTAAGAAAGTCTATGTGTCAACTAAGCTTTCTGAACCAAGTATTAACTTTGTGTGTTTCTCTATAAAAATCATTCAGACTTTAAAAGTACTACTGTGTTGCAGTAGGTATAAATAAAAAAACTTGGGTGTGAGATAAGAAAACAATTAAAATCTGTTGTAATATAAAGAACCCTGGGCTTGGAGGCCACTGTAGGCAGTTCTCTTGTCCCTTCGGAGTCTCAGTCCTGATCTGCAAAGGTCTTGACGCCTCTCCACCCAACGGATGAAAAGAACCGCGGTCCAAGTCGGGTGCCTGAGAAGCCATTCCCTGTGTTTGGGCGCACTGCCTTCCCGGGAACTTTGCGGCACCTGTGGAACCCTGATAAAGACCTAGAAAGGCGCCGCACAGACTCCATCCTCGGTTCCAAAACTGACTGCTTATGGAGCTAAAGGTTCCACCCTCTCCACCCCCTTGAGGTACCCGCCACTGTTTTATTTTAATAAACATCCACTCCCCGTTTTGAGCAATCCTAACCTAGAGCTGGACTCTCAGAGACCATAGAAGACAAACAGCCCACAGCAAGCAGCGTCTACGGAGCCCTACCGGCCACTTACAAACAGGGTCTTCCATTTTCAAGGGTTTTTTCAAACGGATGCTGGCGGGGACCGTCTTCTCCATCAATTCATCAATGCTCTAAAATTGAAACGCAAGTCGGTGAACACGAAAGCGAGGAAAATGCTTCTGAGTTAAAAGAGTCACCTCTGTATTTTACATCTACAAAGACTTGTGTGAAGCTCATTTAAATCGCCTAATTACGATTTATTTTTAAAAAGAAGGAACAACTTTGAGCAAACTAGAAATCGCTCAGAGGAAATAAAATAATGAAGCATGGTAGTGATTTAACCACCCCCAGCTGGATTTCCCTCGGCAACTGGAGATAATCGGATAAACTAGAGGTCCTCCTGTCCTAAAGTTAGTGCTCATCAGCAGGGCGACTTGGATTGAAAGCAAACGGTTTTGAGGCGCGAAGAGCGGGTGGAGGAGAAAATGCGCGACTAGGGAAAGCCCGGGCACGGGACCGAGAGCGCGGACTCGCTTGCACGCCCGGGCCGGGAACGAAGCAGAGCTCGGGCGGGAGCGAGAGGCCGAGTCTGCAGAACCCGGGCGGGGTAGGGTGCAGTCCGGAGGGCCGGGTGGGGGTCCTTACCGCCAGTCCCAGGGCCTTTAGCATCTCCTTCTGGTCTTTGTCCCCAGGTCCGATGTGCCTCCGGGCGAAGTCGTCGTGTCTGGGCAGGAGGCGCTCGAGGAGGCGCGAGGCCCCAGCCCCGCCGCTGCCAGTACTGTTGCCCCGGCTCTGCCGTGCCCAAAGCTGCCCTGCGCCTCCCTCCAGGCAGCGGCCGCCCGCCACCCTGCAGCCCAGGCGCAGCCCCCAGGCCTTGGCGCACGTCTGCATGGTAGGCTGTGGTCTCCAGCCCCCGACCACTGGAGTCAGTTGCGCTCTCTGCCCGGCCTCTGGTCGCGGTCCCCGGGTGGCCGCTGCCTCCGGCCAGGAGTCCCTCCCCAGAGGAAGACCTGTGCGCGACAGATGGTTGTACGCTCACGGGGATGAATGGGAGCAGGACTCCGCCAGGACACGCGCGCAAAGTTGTTGCTCCACTCTAGGCACCTGCTCAGCACACTTTAAGCGGCGCCCTGGGGGCGGGTGGTGGGACCCGGCCAGCAAACGCTCGGCCAATGGGAGTGAACGGAGGGGCGCGGGGCGGGGCAGGCTCGCCCCGCCCCTTCCCTACCCCCTTCTTTGGGCCCCAGCTCCCGGCCTCCTCGCCGGCTCCTGCTCCATCTCCGCCTGTTGCAGACTCCTGGGCGCACCTTGTGAAAGACACCAGTCCAGGACTTCACTCTTTCGGGATCCTGGGCGGCCGCGGGCAAAGAACCTAGGGGACTCAGCTGAGACGGAAGGTCATCCTGACCCGGAGGCCACTTCGAGTCGGTTAGCCGCCATTCGTTAATTTTGGAGTATCTTTCTCTGTCATATCTCGCGGAAAACAATGTGAACGAATGAGTGTTCTTTTATAGTTGTAGGATGGTGGGCAAGTTACTCAACCTCTGAGCTTCAGTTTTCTCATCTCACCGAGTGGAATGGGATTTAAAAATAGATTAACACTGTGAAATCACTGCCATAACAGAGGGCTTGATCGATCGATCTGTCTATCCATCTGTCTATCTACATTTGTGTGTATATGTTATGGAAAAATACAAAAGATATTAAGATATACATTTTACACTATAATCTTACTTGGGAAATTATTTATACATAGGTCTTTTGTAAATCTAAGCCCTCTAGCTATTTCTTGATAGTTTTATTAAAAGAAACTTTCAAAATTTCTCCCTGTCCTGAATTACAGATGGCTTCTGTGGTTGACCTGAGGATAGTGGTGGTCTATCTACCCTGTCTTGCTCTTCCAATTCTTCAAGTGGATTTATATGCAGCTTTTACTGGCATTTTAATACTCCTGTTCTTGAAATACTATGGGCTATTTATTTGTTTGTTTCCTAAATAATATTTAACAGAGATAGTAACTGAGGCCAAAAGTGGCTTTAGGAAACTGACCCCCAAAGATAAGAAACAAGGATTAGATATCTGACCCGGTTCTGATCAATGATAACATTATCACTAGTAGAAAGTGAGATCATGATAGTCTTAAGCACGAAATGGAACAAACGCTTAAATTATCAGTGAGGCAAAAAGCGCCTACTGAACACAGGTCTTTGCTAGTTTAGACCCTTCTGGGAGGAATGATACCCACAAAGATCACTGAGAAGAGCTAGTAGCTTCCAAATGCCCTGGAGAGTTCACAGAATAAAATGACAACTTAAAAAACTAGAGAGCTTCAATGCTGTACAAGAATTCCTTAACTTCAATAGCTACAGAGAGAAAGTATTTACAAATCAGACCCAATGTTTGATCCTGTAGATTGACAAATTATCACACAAGTTGAATTCACAGCCTTATTAAGTCTTACATATTAAAGTTTGGGATTAATTCTAAAACCGTAAGACTTGGAATGGGGACATTTTGGTAGTTTGGGTTGAGTTTAATTAACTTGACCCCCCCAAATCCCACTGAGTCCACCTTGCTGGATGAAGCAGCCTGTTCCCCCCTGGGATGCTGGCCATCTCTTGCTTAAAGATCCTGTAATGGCTTCACTAAATCATTAACCTTGCAGAGGTATGCCAGTGATTCTTTACCTCTAGATCCACAACCAGAGTCAGATCTCCACATACCCCAGAAAGTTGGGTAAGATACCTGACACCTGGGAAAGAATTACAAGATGCTGCTAATATGTATTGGCACTGGAGGATATCTGTGTAGGAATGGGTTCTAGGCCAAGGGAGAAGGAATATAACATTGAAATTATTGATATATTATAGCTCCAGAGATTTTGGGTTCAGTGTATTAGCTCAATTAGCCAGGAGTGTATCTAAGGATTTGCTGAATTGATTGAGTGCATCAATTCACTCAATCAGTTGAGTGAGTCACTCAATCAATTCAGAAAATTGATCTATTCAATCAATCAATTGGTTGATTCAGACTCAATAATGGCCTTCATTAAATTAGGCAGTAGGTTAAGAAACTAAAACTTTCTTGGTATAATAGATAAGAAAGGATCCAAAGGCTTTGTAAGGTAGAAATATTGGAATGGATTGATCATGTGCAATATACACTTCAACCCACACAGAGTATCCCTCCTGCAGGCTGAGAGGAAGTCACTTCACCTAAACAATGAGGAATCCATTGGCAAGAGGAGCAGCAGTATTCAGTATTTCTGTACTTTCTGTGTTGGCACGTGTGAGATGACAGTGGAAGATGCCATTGTTGAAATGGGCTCTCTCATTTCAATGTGGTAGAGGCCAGAGGCAGCACTAGAGAACAGACAGAAGTGTGCAAGGTTGCATTAATGGGCAGCAGAGTCAGAGAGGTAACTAGTCAACTCGATCCACAGGGATCTTTGTGTTCACTAATTGTTGAGCAGCGTATGGAAATTTTAGTTAGTCTGGTAAACCAAAATTTTATATGTCACCTGAATGGAGAAACCCAATCTCACAACCAGTTCTCTTACATTACCTGGTTCATTGACCCAGAGCCTTCTCAGATAAAGGGGACCTTAAGAAAGAATCCTTGAGAAAAGATCTTATGACCCTGCTATAAGTATACATACATATAAAATACATGTGGCCATTTACCAAGTATGATAGTTATGTATCAGTTTCGCTGCACCAGAGCATCCAGATATGTGGTCAAACATTATTCTAGATATTTCTGTGAAAATGTTTTTGGATGAGATTAACATTTAAATCAGCAGACTTTTAGTAAAGTAGATTGACCTCCATAAAGTGAGTGGGTCTCATCTAATCAGTTGAAGAATATAACAAAAGCCTGATCTCCCCTGAGCAAAAGGGAATTCCCTAGCAGACAGCCTTTGAACTCAGACTGCAACATCGGCTCGTCCCTGGGTCTCCATCCAGCCTGACAGCCTGCTAGTGCAGATTTTGGACTTGCCAGCCCCCATAATCACATTAGCCAATTTCTTAAAATCTCATAGATATGAAATTATATATATATATATATAATTGATATATAAACTATCAATTATATAAAATATATAATTTTTATATATCATTTAGAAATTATATATATTATACATAATGATGTATATAGATAGATTCTGTTTCTCTGGAGGACCCTCATCAAGAAAAGGACAATACCCAGACCTTTTCTTTTAAAGCTCTCATAGAAAAAGTAGACAATATGTAAGAAGAGGTGGTCAGTGTAATCAGAGATGGCCCTAGCCAGGTAGTTCAGTTGGTGAGAATATCATCCCAATTTGCCAAGGTTGCAGATTCAATCCCTGTTCAAGGCACATACAAGAAGTAACTAATGAATGCATAAATAAGTGGAACAACAAACCGAAGTTTCCCTTCTCTCTCTCAATCTCTCTCTCCCTTCCCCTCTCTCTTTAAAATCAATCAATAAAAAAAATTAAATAATGTAAACAGAGATGGCAAATCAAGAAATAATCAAAAGGAGATTATAGAAATCAAATCACTAACAGAAATGAAGAATGCCTTCTAAGTAATCATGAGTAGACTTGACAAAAAAAACAACACTGATTCCAACATCCAAGAGCTATAGGACAATATATGCATAATTGGAATTGCAGAAGGAAAAAAAAAAGCAGAAGAAAATTTTAAGGTAATAATAATGGAAAACCTTTAAAAATTAAAATTGAGCCCTGGCTGGTGTAGCTCAGTGGATTGAGCTCGGGCCTGCGAATCAGACAATTGCGGTTCGATTTCCAGTCAGGGCACATGCTGGGGTTGCAAGCCAGTTCCCTGCAGGCAGGGACGCACGAAAGGCAACCATACATTGATGTTTCTCTCCCTCTCTCCTTCCCTTCCCCTCTAAACATAAATAAATAAAATCTTTAAAAAAAATTAAAATTGACACCAAACCACAGATCCAGGAAGATCAGAGAACATTAGGCAAGAGAAATACAGCATCATTAGGTATATCCTATTCAAATTACATAAAACCGAAGACAAAGACAAAATCTTCTTAAAAGCCAGAGGAACCCTGGCTTTTCAAACTACATAAAAGTGTAGCTCAGTGGATTGATCTCAGGCCTGTGAATCAAAGGATCATGGTTGGATTCCCAGTCAGGGCCCATGCCTGGGTTGCAGGCCAGTTCCCAGCAGAGGACACATGAGAGGCAACCATACATTGATATTTCTCTCTCCTTCCCTTTCCCTCTAAAGATAAATAAATAAAATCTTTTTTTAAAAAGCCAGAGGAAGAAAACAAACATCTCACCTACAGAAGAACAAGGATAAAAATTACAGCAGATTTCTTGTATTAAAAAAAATAAAAGTCTGGCCCTGGCTGGTGTAGCTCAGTGGATTGAACGTGGCCTGCGAACCAAAGGATGGCAGTTCGATTCCCAGTCAGGGCACATGCCTTGGTTGCAGGCCAGTTCCCAGCAGGAGACACACAAGAGGCAACCACACATTGATATTTCTCTTCCTCTCTCCTTCCCTTCCTCTCTAAAGATAAATAAATAAAATTTTTAAAAAAGAAAAAAATAAAAGTTTATAAGTAAGAAGAAAGTAGAGTCAAATATTTCACATACTTTAAAAAACATAGCCTAGATTCTATACTGTGAAATTATACCTCAAAAGTGAAAGATACAGATATTCACAGACAAAAATTGAAGGAATTCATAGACAGCAGACATTATCTATACTTTTTTTCCATTGTTCTTTCTTCCTGATGTTCCAAGAGTCTTCTTTCATCATTTCCTTTTTGTTTAAGGAACTTCTTTCAGTCATTTTTTTTAAAGGCAAGCATCTAATTCTCTTAGTCCTTCACCTGGTAATGACTTGATTTTCCCTTCATTTCTTAAAGATATTTTCACAAGATATAGTATACTGCATCAGTGATTGTGTTTTTTTCATCACTTGAAAAATGTGTTGCCCTGACCAGTGTAGTTCAATTGGTTGAGCGTCATTCCACAAAGCAAAAGGTCATTGGTTCAATTCCTGATCAGGACACATGCCTGGGTTTCAGGTTTGGATATGAGAGCCAACAGATTGGTGTTTCTCTCACATCAATGTTTCTCTCTCTCTCTCCTTCCCTTCCCCTCTCTCTGAAAATGAATAAATAAAAAAAATTAAAAATAAAGCTATGTTGCTACTCCTTTCTGGCATCTATGGTTTCTCATGAGGAATTTGTTATCATTCAAATATTTCCTTCTGTAGATATCATTTCTCTTTTGCTCTTTTCAGTATTTTTGTCTTTAGTATTCAGGAGTTACACTATGATATGTTGGAATGGCTATAAGCACTGATCTTCTTAAATATGTTAAGTTTGCAGTTGTCTGATTTGGAAAATTTTCATAAATTACTTCTTTCTTCAGCCCTTCCCTCTTTTTT